GCCAACTGGACACTTGCCCCATGCATGCTCATGAGTGCAATCATCATTCAGTGAGCCAGCTGCACATGAAAAAGAAATCACTGAAGCATCAGTTTTCAGTGTTGGTATACTAACACTTGCTAAATTAGTACAACTGAGGTCATTAGTTTAGCAGGTATTTCGTTAGATATGTTGATGGTTTTACCTGATGATGACGCTAAATGATGGGGGCATAATTTTATGGCAACAATCTAATAGTTTCCAAGATATTCTATACAAAAATGCCAGTTGCTAAAACAAACATAGCAAAAACAAGACAAATGAAGCATATATCATCAATTATTTACCATGTGTATATTTTTTGGGTGTAGCTTCGACAGTATGCCAGAAGCATAGTAAATCCATTGAATGGAAGTTGGAGATAAAAGTAAATAGAGATGCACCCTGCAGTGGGTGAAGAAAAATCATCTCCATATGCAAAAAGAAGTTTTGTTATTTGTTTTCTTGCTCTCTATACATAGATGGACATTTTAAATCATGTTTATATTTTCCGAAGATTAACTTTTAAGCTCCCTGTCAAAAGCTGCATCCCAACCTCCTTTTGTAAAGTTCAGGAACTTGCAGAGAACTCTTTCGAGATATGTTTGAAAATGCAGAGGCATAGACAGAATTCAAGTTGAAAATACCTCCCATGTGTTACTGTATGTACACACACACACCTCCCCATGAAGAGAGCTGGAGCGGCGTGACTCACGCTGGTGTGAAAACACAGCGGAGAGGTGGGCGGATGACATCACAGCACCCTGCAAAGAACAAGAGATTTGGAGTTGGCCCCTATTCAAGCACGTACATAGGGGCATGTGCACACACACTTATATACATATGTAGGCCTAGACACACTCCTCCTCCTCTGCTGCCTATCAGTCACACCAACCGCCCTCGCCACACGTGCACACAAGCACAACCTGAACATTTCCTCACCAGAAATAACAATTGTTGTCCTGAGGAAACGCTGGATTTGTTATGTTTTGATTTTTACCTTCATGCAGGAGGATGTGGCGAGACAAGCCAGTGGTTTGCCAGGATACACACATGCTCTGACAGGATTTTGGGGCCAAGGTTGAAAAAATAGACATGGAAACGGATAAGGTGCCATCTCAGATACTGTGAAGCTCCACCATTCTGTTGTATGTCTCTGTATAAGCACCCTCATTCATATATACTGTATGTTCACGCCATCCTATCTTGGTCCAGCTCCAGCTTCTGTGATGAAACCACAAGTGGAAAGGAACTGTGTTGTACTGTCACACAAAAATCCCCCCATACATAATGCATTCAGATGCAAGAGCATGTGAATGCATTTCACATGCTCAGTGTTTCTCACACAACTGAAGGAAAAAGATAGGATTAAAGTTTGATTTGGGAGACAAGTTGCTGATGTAGTGATCCACCAACAATAACACATTTCACCATGTTTACGACAACCACTGTGTCTTCCTTTGGCAGTGATTAAAAATAGATGTCCAGCCTGACAAATACACACTTGACTCATACAGACATGGTTGCTTTTGACAAAACAATCTCATGCCAAGGTCTGGAGCTTTGTATCATATGACACTGTCTTCTTTAGCAGATAGAAATGCAAAATTGTCATGAAATTCAAGATGTTCACTTTTTTCTATATTCCCTAAGCACTTTAAAACTGTATTAACAGTTTTTTTTCCCCAGTTCTTAGTTTGGAAGACATAAACACAAGTGCATTTGGTCTGAAATAACTACCCTGAGCCCTAAGTGTTACTATGTGTTGCTGTTTTATTATCAGCACCAAGCAGCAAATAGTTTCTTTAAATAAGATGCAGAGCTAAATCAAAGGAGGAAAATATAATGTGACTAATGTTTAAAGTAGTATTAATAGATTTTTAGGTGCATTGGGGCAGTGAATCAAGCTATAAACACAACACTGAACAATTATAACCTTATAAAGTTGCCAAACATACAAACCTGCAGCATTAATGCATCCAGAAGCCGGAGCATCATTTTCATTAGTCTGGAGTTGTGTTTCTATCAGTCCAATAACTATAAACCTGACATTCACTCTTTTGCTCTATTTTGGTCTCAGCCAAATGCTGCTGGCTGCTGAGATGTATGCAGCATGAAAACATACATGTGGTTGCAGCTGTAGCTGTGGTTGAGGGGAGCTCTGAGAATGAAGCAAATCAATAAAGCTGTGGTGCCAGAAAACCAAAGCTGTGAGCTGAAAGATGCTTAACTGCAGCATCATGTGGTAATTCTTTGTTGCTGGGTTGGTTATGAGGAGTGTCACCTTTCAGATTACACAGGCAGTTGATCCATTGTCAATATAAAATATAGTTTAGTGTGTCTTTAATTAATCTGTTTGCTAAAAGTTTCTGTTATGTGTTAAACTGTGACAAAAGAATTCTGCAAAATTTTATTTTCATTGAGTAAGATACAGTATTTGGTTTTGAAACAGCAGCTACATGATTTATATAATCAATCTACTTTTCTCGTTGCAGGTTTCTCCTAATTATACTGTATGCTCTTTTTTCTAAGTCATAGCACCAAACATGAACAGCAAAATTACTAAAGCATGGACGATAATAAGAAAGTCAGGCATGTTTTCTCTGTTGGAGAGAGGTGTTTCTGCAGCAGACTACCCCCTTCCCACTCAGTTTGTTTTTTAGATATTGTTAAAGAGGATAGATGGGGGTGGTTCTCAGGAACATAGGTAGCTTTAAAAAAGCACAGTACAACCATGAGTGTCTTGAGAAGATGAAGGACAAAATGATTCAATGTTAGATCTGGCTGTACAAGAACCCTTCCACCTACACTGCTACATCTGAATGTGTGACTTAGAATCTATTTTCTCCTCTGATTTTCTGGCTCACTGTGACCATAAAGCTACAGCTCCATTTCGAATGGAGGCACTGGCCAGGATACTGGGTAGAGCAGAATGGAAGGAGGGGGGAGTTCTGGGTTTGGTTTGGCAGGGTGCTAGAGCAGTTAATTAAAGCTGCCGGGCAGGTATTTCAGGATTAGTTGTGGGAGTGCAGACGGGGCCTCTGGTGGCCTTAGCACGAAGTCATCAGCTGATGGGAAACAGGGGCTGTGAGCACTTCATTATGCTGATGATGTCTCTATGGTCATTTAGGTAGGATTCTGGCCAGTAAATCTTAAGTTACATATTCAGCTAACACCTTTTTGTAATGGCAAAGTGTGGAATTATTTGTCATGTTTTGTTTTCATCATAAATAACGTCACTATTTGGCTAAAGCAGGATTAATGATATTTCATGCTTCAGAGAAAATGGTCTGCGATTCAAAGTGTCTTTATCAAAGAATTTGCTTGCCTTCCCAAATGACCACAGAGAAATGCAGTTATATCATCACATCGCCCCAGCAGTCACTCACTCACATGCCATATGGCTCAATGTCACATAACTGCATGACCTGGAACGATGTGGTAAGGAATTCCTTTGCAAAAAATGTTGACAATGATGACGACGGTCTGTGCTCACAACAGCAACGCTTCTGTACATATACTGTATATATATACATATATATATGTATGTACATGTGTGTGCGTGGGCGCTAAGTGTCAGTGTGCAAGTTGACTTGTTATTCTCTAAGTGTGTCACTCGGCCTTGTGATAGATACTGAGCTGTCATATCTGTCAAGCAGACAGCAGTTCTACATGCATATTCATCGTTATGCCAGTTTCACCCCAAAGACTTTAGTGAGTTCACAAGATCAAGAACCCAGATGAAGTGACGAATAAAAGGTCTGCAGAGTTTTGTCCTGTAATTCTAACTGCAGTCACTGACCCATCACTGACTACTGATAAACTGATGTTACTATAACTTTTATGCATGCTGTAAATTATTGTGTAGATCACTATACTGCGATAAAACTGTCAGGCCGTAAAAGTGTTAAGGACTAACACAGGCAGTGGGTATTTAAACTTCTGTTTGCATAATAAAAGTGGCCACTAGATAGCAGTTTCATTTATGTCCTAACTGGTGGTTTTGTTTACTCAATGTTGAAGATATTTTCTATGCAACAACATAAATAACCAATAAGTGTCTCATCGTGTCAGGTTCGGACAAACGGATGAGCAGCACATCGCTGGACGAATCTGCCCTCTACTGGACAAATTAAGGTTGTGTCATGTTTTGTTTTCAAAAAAATGTCTGTCCACAGTATTGTTTACATAGCTTGTGTAAAAATAAGATTGTTTCCACTGAACATCAGGATGATTACTTAATATGTGATTTAGCAGGTATCAACAAGGCTGGGCCATGTGAAACTCGCTGCAGTAAGACAAGAAAAGCGTGTTGTGAGTTTTTCTGCATTTCTATACATTAATATGCATTCTTGACCTTAAGGTCTTCCAGGGATTTTAACCACTTCTTACAGTCATATTAGGCAGGTGGAGTTTTCCCATGTAGCTATCGCTTTAATATTTAGTTTTCATTAGGACAATGTGGACATGTAATGTATCCTGAGAAAAACTCTTTATTGAAAGTAAGCCTGTAAGGATTTTTTGCACCACTGTGATGAAATACCTTAATATTTTAGCTATTTAAACTGGAAAACGCTATTGCAAGTTTCAGTCCATGCAGATCCAACATTATTTTGTCCACTAAATGTATGTGCAACTTACAGTTAGAAACCAATCCACTTTGTTTTGTTTCTCCACTATTTAGTTCCCTTTTGGTCTGCAGTCACATAACATTTATACTGCTAAATACAAAATACAGGCATTATTACAGTGGCATGGTAGACTTGACAGCTGTAATCGTGATTATCATGCTGTAGGAATATATAGATTTAGGATGTTTAAATGTGGGGGATGTTCACATTCAGGTCATTGTTTTTTATGCTGTGTGTTTATATTGGTGATGTTCAATACTCAGTAAACCAGCATAGTGCTATAGTATGCGCTGTACCTTTGTCTTATACTGCGGGAAGCCTGGGTCTCATTATAGCCAAGAAGACAGCCTGGTACAGAGTCATATATCTGCAAGTGTTTACTCAAACATCTGATATTGTTTTTCCAAGAATAACATGTTGCTTTTTACATGATGCATGTAATATATGTCCACAAATACAATTGAAGTAGTCTAAAAGAAAGAAAGAAAGAAATCAGCTTTTGAAAACAACACAAAAACATTGGGTATCTAGAGCAGAGTCCAGAGCGTCATTCTGTACAATACACTGCCATTTCAGATTGCACAAATAAACAGTTGTTTTCAGTAGCACTTAGTAAGACTCATTTGCAAAAACTGTAGCCAAAGTTCATCCTATGATGGTCATTCTGTGCAAGTCTCAAACGGGCAACTCTGGTCAAACGCTATAATTGTATTAGGGTCAGTTTATTATTAACTTCATTGAAGTTGCAATAAAAAAAAAGAAAAGCAAATTGCATGCAAAACTCTCACTTGTCCCTTATTAAATGTATGTGTCGGGGGGTGGGGGGGAATGCATCGCCACTGGACTGTGTACAAAACGGTGACGACAGAGTGACTAAGACATTATATTCACACAGGGAATATTTCGGACCATCTAGAATATCACTGAGGACTTTTTATACAGCCCTAATGCTGACACATTAAATCAACGATGTCTCCTTGCAATTCTATCAATCTAACATTCTTTGAAAAACCTGGTATTTACAATGCAAGGGATAGTTATTAAAGCATTTAACTATAGAACATTTTTACCGATAAAATAAAAATAGGATGTAAAATATCTTCAGTTTTCTTACAGAGAAGTCAAATCATTTTACCCTTAATGTTTCCGTTTCTTGTAATGCCTTAAACAGGTACTGCGAATGTGACCACTTAGATGGAAGATAAAAGTTGCATTTTTGTGAAGGCATTAGATTAATATAACAAAATGGCTGCATATTTAGAATACTTTCATTTCATTAAAGTTAGCCTTTTCAAGTGCCATTACAACCAAAGTCAGACACAAGAAGAGAAGCAACTGTGTACTACAGCAACCTGCCACTTCTCCAGTGTGTGCACGCAGCCCCCTCTTCTGGTAATTTCCTACACTACATCTAATGCAGTCAACAGTAGAAAGGCTACAGGTGCATGAGTGCTACTACCCACATAAAAAATACCAAAGGGGGGAATCAAGGTCAAATGCAACCAGTTATACTGTTGATTTGCAAAAAAATTAGAATTCCTAAGTCAGTAGTGGGCAATTCCAAGCCTTTTCTCTATCCTCTACATCTAGACCGCTGTATTAATTCTATAAAGAAAGCATGATGACATCTTCAATTCAGGCTCTTTTCAACTGCGTGTCACCTGCCAATTTGCAGTGGATAGGAGTCGAGTTTGGTTACGTCAAAGACAGACTAGACTGAGCAGAAATGTGTGCTCATTCTGTCCTGCTGAGGGAAACCTTGACATTTAGATCTTCATTTGGTTACTTCACCACACACTTTATGGCAAAATGTTTCCCCTTTTGTCCTTGAAACTGCTCTCAAATGGCATGTTAGCATTTTTTACGTTGCTCCGTGACATTGAGAGACATGTCTGTAGCTAGGTATGCCTCTTTATTTCAACTAACAACAAAAGGAGAGACATTTTTTCCAAAGATGTGCAAAGTATGTAGTGACATCATATATTCAACTAAAAATTCTTGTTTCTTTAACACCAGCAGCCTTTGCGTTGGTCGCCCGTCACACTGTCACAAAGCCCCTCTTCTTCCTCCAGAGCAGCAAGGTTAAACTCATCATTAATGGACATCCAGAGAAGATCCAGGTCCTTTTTATTGGCTGCCAGCACTTGCTCAGCCAATCGTGTGAAAGTCTTAGAGAGAAACAGCCACAGGATAAGAAGCACTGTCATTTATCTAGCATTTTCCTCCCATTACATAACTGTCACTGCATGCAATAATTTGATCTTATTCTTGTATGTACATGTTCATGAGTTCCTGTTGAGCAGTGGCTCCTCAGATCATCTCACCTCTGTTATATTATGGTTGGTGAAGGCACTTGTCTCAAAGAAGTCCATTCCATAAGCCTCGGCCAGCTGCAAGACCAAGGAAACAGTGACACATTTTATTTTCTTGAAATAAAACCTGCCTCTTTTGGTTTATTAAATTAGGAGCAGATACAAGTCATTTGCTTTCGCACAGGTGCAGAATGTAAGTGAATAATTGCCTGCTGGCAGTGAGAAATAGTGGTGTGTTCAAGTGCAGCTTCCAATAGAAAGCATGAGTCAATGTGAAATAACAGGAGGTGACGCATCAGTCAGTTGTTGTCTGCACTAGGTTTTTGAGGTCCGATTGGTGCCTTGTCTAACCCTGGTTTCAGAAATGACAAATATAAGCATTTGGTGAACTCAGGGACCACTTCTATGGCCCAAAATAAACTCATGACCCATATGACACAGGTTTCTGGTTCAAGCAGAGCACAGTCCAACTCATTGTGTCCCAGCTTCTGTCCGTAAACACACTGCATCACTGCAACTAGTGTGTTTTGACTTGTCACACTTTGTCCCATAGTAGATAAAAATATGCACACACACACAAACCTGTTCAGAGTAGTCAAGAGCTTGAAACCAAAGTTTACCAAAACCCAAATAAAAAGAGCTTAAAATCCATTAACATGCATTTTTCTCCTTTTGTTTTCCCTTAAGTAGCTGTACAGTGTTGAATGTGACAGACCCACCTTGATCCCTTGCTCTGTGGCCACCTGCCTCTTGTCCACCTCATCTGACTTGTTCCCAACAAGGATCTTTTGGACCTTATCAGGAGCGTACTGTAGGGGGTTTTGCATGTGAATATGAATGGATATTTACAGTTATGCAACAGGAATGAAAAGCAATTGAAGAGATAGAGAGCGAGATTTCAAATGTCAAGAGAAAGCAGAGGGGAGAAAACACAGGAGCAACAGGAAATGAGACCTAGATTAAAAGTAAATGGGAAGCATGCCAAGATCGATAATGTAAATATTTAGATAGAGCCATAGAGGAAATTAGGCCCATAATGACTAAATTAATAAAATAAAATCATCTGGGAAATGACAGGGGGAAGCAAAGCAGCCGAGACTGCGTCATGACAACTCAACAGCCGACAGAATTGACTGCAGGAGGAAAAACCGGCCTCCTTCCGACATTCATGAGTACACACTGACATAAATATGACGGCAGGTAGTTGAAAATGAAGAAGTAACACAATAAACACAGCACAGCTTTCAAGTCAAAGCATTTGGTTTTCATCACACTATGACAGGCATCTGTGATTTGGCAAACTAGGGCCGATGCACAGTAAGTAGCTTTGTCAGCTTTGCTCTGTTGATTTTCCACTTTGCCTGATTTATCTAATTCCTAAATCGCAGATCTCTGTGACTCACCTCGTCCACATCACTGGCCCACTTCATGATGTGCTGGAAGGACCGCTCACTCGTGATGTCATATACCAGGAAGATTCCCTGAAGGGAGATGATTGAATATTTAAAAAGCAGATGAGAGCCAGTGCATGTTTAAAGAAATGTTCTCAATTACCAGAACCTTAAAACCATAAAAGTGGAAACACTGATATCATTACTGTAAACAAACCAGACCACCACTCGGAAAACTGGCAGCATCTCCCAGCAAGGCATTTTATAATGTAAGACACAGGCCGGGTGACAATTCAGTTTCAGCCAGGTTAGCCCAGGCAGCGAAACTAAAATTCATTCACAGTGATGTGCTGGTAGTGGTTGTGTGTGGCCACTGAGAGCTAGTCACAACATCCTCTAGGGAGGCAAAGAAACATGTGGCCTGTTTAACAGAAGAAACACTACACTGACAACACTACTGGTGTGAGACCAAATCCTTTTATAATACTGATGCGTTACAGCTTCCCTCTGTAGCAACTTATTATCCATGAGCACGTTTAGGACCTAAACTGGTGCTCAGCATTTGGCATGAGCTATTCTAGTTGTAACAAATTTGATTTCAGAAATAATTTAGACTTACATTTGTTATGCTACTCTGTAGTTATAATATCTAATTAATCCCCCTGTTTTGTAAAGTTAAAACAATCTAAAAACAAAATGTTAGTCAAAATTTGTGTGAAATGTCTAAAACAGTTTAGAATGTTTTGGTAGAGGCTGATATAAATCTCCCTTTATAGACATAACTCAGCACTGCAGGAAAATGCCTTCTTCCTTAATTCTCCTGTTATGTTGTGGGTGAAATTGTCCCATTATAAAGTTAAAAAGTCTAAAAACAATAGTTAAAAGTATTTTATCGGTATGAAACTTATTCTTGGCTTAATAGGTGTAATCAACATATAAAATGAAAATGGTTCATTTCACATATATGCAACTTCCCCTTGCAACTTCCCCTTGCAAGATACTGTTTAGGTCAATTTGACCCTGAACAGAAGAGGTGTCTCATGTTAGTTTATCAACATCACTTCATAAAAACCATAATCTGTGAGAGGTCCATTACACTAAAAAGTGATTGAAATGGTTAGTAATGGTAAAATGAACCCAGGACCATCACTGCTGTTCCTGAGAAAGGAACAATAACAGGTGGGTTAATATGTGACAAATCCCACTGCAGTGGCAGGAAAAACTGAGGAGACGTGACGTCCGCTACCTGTGCTCGTCTGTAGTACTGCTTAGTGATGGTCTGGTACCTCTCCTGGCCTGCAGTGTCCCTGCACACACAACAACACATACAAACACATTTATGAGATTGTAATATGACAACATGTACCTGTAAAACACTAGTCAGGATGTAAACCATACTGAGTCTAATTACTATCAATAAAAAAGTGTTTTTCTTGCAGAACCTCAAATTACCCCAGGTTGCTAAAATGCCAACATTTCCAGAAAAAATACAGATATAACCTCAGTATTCTCAGTATTTCTCATGCACAAGACCCTCTAACTTTGTGTTTCATTCTAATATCTTACCATATCTGTATCCGTACTTTGATACCATCTATTACTAGTGTCTTCATTTTAAAGTCGACTCCTGTAAGGCAGAGAAGATACGGTTAGGAAATACAATATTACATTCACAGAGAAGCGCTGGATTTATTTGATATTTCTCCAGATCTGAGAGTGCTGTGCTCAGACTAAATGTTATGAATGTTGTCAGAGACATCTGCTCCTTCCACCCAATAAGTTACTTAAATAACCTGGCAGGTCTTTTACATTTTAGTAGAGCGGATTAATGAGCCGGTGAGTCCAGTGAGAGAAGGGCAAAACATTAGCCGAACCGTGCATAACGCCACAGGGTAGCAGACAAGAGAAGCAGAGCTGAGGGAGGGAGCGGCTATGTGAGTCGTCTCTCACGCCTCAGTGATGTCTGATCTACTATCAACTGAGTGCAATATTGTTCATAGACACAAAATCACAGAGACTGTTCTTATTTCTGTCATCTTTCATTTTTGAAGACCACAACAGATATTAATATGCCTGAGGAGAACTTTGTTGACTGTTAATATTTTGTGTTGAGGAACAGAATTTGTTCATGTAAATATCTATATCACTTTTTTTTTTTTGCAACTGATCCCAATAAGTAATTTAATATTGTGCATCTGCCAGTACTTTAGTTAACGGAACATCAAATTCACTGCACCTTTAACCACATGGCTCTTTTCTCCACAATACTAATGATATTACGGTGCTAATATGTGGATGTGTTGTAGGAAAGGTCCAGATAGCTCATCTTTATGATGAAAAAAACTGGCTTGCAGTACTGTATTGTTGAAATGTCTGCTGGTTTCACACAAAACCATACAGTATTTATGTCCATCTTGATGGGATATAAGATGAATCAGATTTTTTTAACTCTTCTCCATGACTGTCTCACAATAATATATTCAAGTCAATAAAAAAAAACAAAACCCACAGGCTTCTATAGACCCTGAGAAATCAATTCAATCAAATAGCTCGACCCAATTAATATGACACTCAACACCCATGTGTCACGCTCAGAGAAACAGCTGCTGAGTCTGATCAATTCCCATAACTGAAGGAACTGCTGTTTGTGGTTTCTATAGCTGCACTACTCCGAGGTTAGTTTTCCAAGAGATTGACATTAGCTGAAAGATGGATAACAGAGTTTGTGTGTTTGCTAAGAACAAGCTGGAGTCAGGCAGAGACTCTGCAGAGGTAGGAGCTCACAGGCTCGACGGCGTGAGGCTTCATTTAAATCGCGTGGCAGCTCGTGCCTTTAACCAGAGACCATTCAGACCAAGACTAAGTGAAAGGTCAGCATAACAATCGTTGGCTTGCCTTACCTGCAGCTTGACAAGAGTGAGGAATCTCAGGAAAATGGCCTCAATTTGAAATGCAGATACAAGCTAATGGATTCTGTGGTTGTACAGTGGGTGTGTGCAGCAAGGGGGACGCACCAAACCTGAAAACTTGAAAATAAATCAAGATGACTACACAGGCAATTCAGCAGTAAGCCACTCAAACACTGAAACAGTTCTTCAGCCTACACTGTCTGCTTCCAGCTGTTAAACAAATCAGTGGCATGGGCGCCCATTTGATTGTTCTGTATTGTTTTAGATAGCTGAGCAAAATGAGACAGACGCTCTCCCAAGGTGCAAGTAAGATCATTCACAGCGCAAACAATGAAGGATCTCATACGAAAAGGGCCAAGGCTGTATAAAACAGTTTGATATTCTGTTCTGAATGTTCCCATCACTGCAGCTGATGTCTTGATGTAACCAGGATAGAATGAGGGTGCACGCATGTGGTCTGCAGCCTAAAATGCGTGGTTCAACAGCAGCCTTCAGTGCTGTGGTGTCAGTATCTGGAATCAAGTTTACACTAACACACAACTACTACAATTTGATATTTTAATTTACATGTAATCAGGACTCAATGGAAAGCAGTACCGGCACAGAGTGGACTCTCCTGGTGAAATTAAATAAACTGAATTTAACTGAATTGTGCTGGTGCATACCAAGCCTTACACCTTTTGTGTGTGCCAAGAATAATTCAGCTGCAGGCTTTACAAAATGTTACATCCTAAATCGTCAAGAAGAGCTTGGGAAAAAAGCCAGTCTACAACTTCCAGTCTTCCCTCCAGAAAGCACTGTGACAATGGTAATGAACACAGTGTGCACAGTGTGTGAGACAGCAGCTAATTTAACATGGCAGCATTTCACAATCGGCACTAGGAAAGCTATGTAAAAACTAATAGGTACAACACCTAAAACTGACTTGACTAATTACCAGGATGACTGTGTTCGACTATGCAAGACGGATTAGGCTGTAACACGTGCCTGTGTGTTCTACTGTCATGGTGACAGGCTCACTAATGGATGGATGGATGCTCCGGCACTGACACAGGTTCACTGGGGAACGGGCCCGTCATCCACGACTAAGATTTCTGTCAACAGCTGGTGTCTTTAGGGCAAAGCAGCATAAAGAACAGACCTTTTTTCAATGACGAACTTGTCATCAATTGAACAATTAAGGTTTGTATTGAAACATCACATGGATTGAGACATGTATAATAAACCCAGTGACTGATTCCAGAGCAGTGTAGACCAGGACCAAGTATACACAGCATTTAGATGAATATTTAGAATATTTAGATGAGGATTTTAGTCAAACCTATAACTGAAAGTAACTTGTGCTAACCATTTTAAAATCTTAGAAGAAAAGATCAATTTTGCATTTGACCAACAAATATGCCAAACTATTATACTGATTAATGTTACCACAATAAGTAACAAGAAATGACAGTACAGAAATGCCAATTTTATACATATGAATATGAGTAATTATATAAGTAATATGTTTGTCTGTAGGTTTCACTGTCAAGTTTATTTATCAGCTATAAAATGTTATTTAAGAGCACCATCTTAGCTATGGTGGGCATTATCTTTAGAGTGATACCATGGCCATTCATGGGCTCTAAAGGATTTAGTTATTACGACCAGTTAAAACTGAGCATAAAAATACAGGCAGAAATGCTCATGTACACAGTCATGAAATGATCCATAACATGTTAGCTGCTACTAGCATAACACATCTGAATCTCCAACTGAACTGTTGGCTGTTGAGGTGCATTATAGGAAATGTAGGCATCCGTACAAACGAAGAACAAATGGGGAAACGGGGAGAGAGACATGCAACACGAGTTCCCACCCAGGCAGAGACCATAACACCAAGTCTTTTCTTGCAGGACAGTCAAGGTTCACAGCCTGCACTTTAACGGCCACATATTAAGCAATTTTCGACATGAGCTGCTCTAGAAATAACAGTCTAACACACCGGGAGCATGACAATTATCACAACTAAGAAAACACCTTCCATGTTCTTAGAAAGTCCAGAAAAGGTCAAGGAGGCCATGAAAACAACATTGATTTCTTTGATAACCTATTTACAACAGGACAACCATCTGTGGTGGCTGTGATCCATACCCGACCCTTCAGATGAATGAGCTCATCAAGCAGCAGCGGGCTCAGAGTATAACCAGGCCTTGACCATAACACCGCTGGGATCACCACCATGAGGACAGCTACTTATTGAGCTGTAATGCAGAGCAGGCCTGAGCTCAGGCTTTATAGGTTTTTTGACAGGCAGGATTTCCTAGGAGTCCACTGAAGAGACCACTGAGGTAAAGGTGAGGATGATTAAACTTGGCTGTGTGACCGAATACCATTACTAAGTCATTTCTACAGCTGTTCTTTGCCACAGAAATGTGCTCTGTGGCCCAGGTGAATGCTTTTATGAGGAACAAAATAGGATCAGTGAGGGTATATCAATCGTTGAGGTGGGATCAGAATTCCTGCTACTCCAAGGATTTTACACAAGTGATCTTTGTTGTTTGAGCTTTTATTTTATAGTGATTTGTAACCAGGGAATAAAATTCCACTTATTGCCAACAAGGTTTTTGATGGATGAAATCAAAGACAAAAATCTTGTCTCAAGTTTGAACGAAGGTCTCGCTCTCTGGTTTCCACTCTCTTTTGTGTGGGAAATTCTTTAATAGTGTGACTACTAAGCCAGGCTGTCCTTCAACATCTTGAGGATTAATGAACAAAACTACAAGGCTAACAAAGACAGTAACCTGTGTGTTTCTAATGTCGCAGCAGCTGTTTGGGAAGTTTATCCATAAAAATATTTTCTAAGCTTAGTGTGGGAGAATCTAACCACCCAATAGAGAACCCCGTCCCCAGCCTCATCCACCAACTTTGGGATGATTTTTAACCACAACTTTGAGCCAAGCCTTATCATCCAGGATCAGTGTCTGAAATCACTCGTGCTCATGTGGTGGAATGGGAGCAAATCCCTGCAGCCAGGTTTCAGAATCTTGTGGAACGTTTTCCTTGAAGAGTGGTGGGTGGTGGGAGCAGATGAATGCACATGGGATCAGCAGTCACTTATGGGTGTAATGTTCAGGTGGCCATACACTGTATCAATATCTAGTCATTGTCACACTGTCTGCTGGGTGCTCTTTGTCTGAATTTCAGGGTTCGCCTAAGTTTTATAGAATAAACTTGAAGAGCTTTGTTGAAAACAGTCCTCTGTGGGTGAGAGGTAAGTGGACTGTAACGGGAAGTGATGAAAAATGGAGCTACTCATGTGGGGGAAGGGGGGGGGGATTATATCCATCAGTATTAAGGTTGAGAAATTATTTATTGATCTTCCACAGGAGAGGACCGAGGGTGGTCACTCGCTCTCTCTCTCTCTCTTTCACTCTCGCTCTTTGTTGGACTTCTTTAGTCTCAGAACAGGATTGTGAAAGCCCTCCCAGTGGCCTGTAGACACTGTCTGCTGCCCACAACTATTCAGCCCAGATCAGGGCTCTACCTCCTGCACCAACACAAGAGCCTGATTGCTAAGCATCCAGCTGTGGATGTGATGTGCATGTGAGTACTCAGTACGCTGTAACAAAAGTACAAAAAGATCATTACAGTCGACTTTTTGCAACATGCACAGACAGGCTGAACTTTTTTTTATAAGAGACATCAGAAGGGCTTGTGATGTACAATATGAGCATGACTCTATAGGGTGAATGGTTTCTATAGAGCAGTATAGGTGCATGGTTTTAAATAGCATAGTGCAGGCTTTGAGCATGTGTCATAAACAGCAAGACCTGGCAAAACGACAAATTAATTTAAGCAAATGTCAGCAAATTTCAGCCTCATCACCAGTTTCATCATTAGACAAGATGTTCTCTAAATCTGTTCAATAAAAAGTCAGTTATCCATCACCACCAAGAGGAACATTTCCTAACTTGTACTTCACCCTCAGGCCACTGGGATCTGTATCTTGTACTCCTCATATTATGGCCAATTACTGCGAACAGTGTCAGTTGCTACCTCAAGAAGCAGGAGTTTTCTAGGAGATAAAAAGCGAATACACTCATGGGAAAGACAAAACAGTTACAACAGAAGGAGAGATAAGAGGCTACACCACAGCATAAAAAAGTACATCCTTATTACCCTCATCTCATAATGAACCACAGTAATGTGCCTGTCGCGGTCCACACTGAATCCTAGCTATGCTGCAAAGCCCATATTAACTAAGAATAGAGGCTTGTTAAGAGTCATAACCAAAAGCAGGGATATGACCATTCCCTATAGAAATGGAAACTTTTAGTTTGTTCTGCAAATAAAGAGGTGGCTGAGTATGTCAAAACATATATGATGGTACAATGAACCATCTACACATTAATTAAATAATAATAAAAACACACACACACACACACACACAAGGAATCTCTTAGAACCAACAACAGGATACCCATGGACCCCCCAGATTATAGTTTGGCAGATGCATGGGTGCCTGATGCAAAACACAGCCCATTCCCATATAGAAAAGTATGTTTTTAGTCATATTGTGTGTGACCCATGGGTTGTAGTTAGCACAAGTGCTGATAGTTGGCAAACTCATCTGCATGGCTGCCAAGCGTTGCATCTTTCCTCCCAGGGCTTCCCCAACCAATGCAATGACGTTGACTGAACAGTTAACACTCTTTGTTCCACGTGAATTTACTCTTCTAATTAAATCAAGACATGGCATCTTTAAATCCAAGATGAACTTGTGTAATTTAAATTAAAAAAAATCTGTGGCCACAGAGAGAGGGAGATATGCAAATGGCACCAACAGAAAACGACGAAAGACCATCTAAATGAAGGGGAGCGCCAATTAACATAAGTGCCGAATGAAACTGAGGAAATAGCTCCTGCTGGTAGTGCACAATCTTACCGATGGTGGAGATGTGAGACGGGTGAAACTCGTTGTCCGTGAATCTGCATAACAAACATGTTTTCCCAACCCCAGAATCTCCGAGGAGCAGGAGTCGGAAAAGCACATCGTACTGCTTAGCCATAGTGTTGGATTAAAATAGCCCCAGTCAGCTAACTCAGCGATGAATGTCCAGTCCCTCCCCACCTGCAACCCATGTCTGCTCACATGGTCAGCGTAAGGCTGTGGCTTCTTTTTGTTCACTGATGCTGGGTGGGTGGGTGACAAAACAGGGATGCTCCAGTTTCCCAGGCTGCCCCCAGCTTCCAGTGGGTGCGGTGGACCACCGTCAAGTAACACCGAGTCAGAAAATGAGACTTCCGGTTGCAGACTACTTTCCAACATAAACGCCTCAGTTACTGGAAATGTTGTTTTTTTTTGTAATAGAAGTTTATACAGATAGTCCACACAGTAGCAAATTAAAGTACACTTTTGTGATAAGTGTAATTTACTTGAGTATTTCTATTTAATGCTAGTTTATACTTCCAATCCTCTACATTCCAAGGGGAAATGCTGTACTACTTTTTACTGCACAACAATATTTGACAGCCATAGATGCTAGTTAGATTAAGAATTAACATTTATATAAAAACATATGATGCATTGTCATAAATGAACATATACTACCAAGCAAAATATAAATGAGAATTATAATATAATTTGATGAGAGCAACAAATAATAATTACATTGCTGTAGTTGTTTTTTTTGTGTGTGTGTTTGGAGCTTAGACTGAGAAACTGCCTAAATTTGACAACTCTTGGTGATAATTAAAATTCTTTATTTTTTATTTTTTTGTAAAACCTGTAATAAGACAATGGGGGTGTGAAGGGTACAACACTCATATCCAGTAAAGCAATAAACTTGTACCAACTATAATAGCAAAATGATACACCTTAGCCTATGAATCGATGTATTAATGATGATCACTTTTCCTCAAACACCATTTTGTTATTTTGAAGGTCAAATCACAGAATTCCTGGCACTTTATGTTTAGTGGGGATGATTTGACTCGGGTCAACGGAAGTAGTAATACGCGTAGTTGCAACGCTTCTTTCGACATCAATTCAACAACATGAGTAAGAGAACAGAAATGGAATAAAACATGGACATACATCCAATGCATATACACAATCGTAAATATATATGTTAAAATAACCTGGGGTTGAACACTTTTACAAGTGACCGTGTGTCTGTTTCGTTTTCCGCACTTCTCTGAGTGAAAATGATTTGTTCCATTGGAGACGCCGTAACTGGTGTGCGCGC